ACCGTAGCTGTTGATATATTCCTCACAGTTTCTACAATATTTTATTTGATCAAGGTTTGAAATAAACATTTGGAATTGAGCTTTGGGATTTTGCCATACTCCAATCAGCAGCGTGTTAAATATCACTGCTGTCATCTAATAGATGTCAACATTTGGCTATACTTTTATTGCCAACACCCATTGACTGAATCTGCCAACAGATTCATTGCTAACCATTGAATCTTCAATGAACTGTGATACATTGACATAATTGCAGATGAGCTCTTAATGACAGAGATATTGCCATGAAATGGCAAACACGTACGCTCATCACCAGCTGAGTTATGTACTCACAGTCAGTCTGAATCTCACAGGAATGGCAACTACAAATAGTAAGGTAGCTGTAAAATATACTACAGTGTCATCTTAGATGACCAGTCTTTAAATTGTGTAAGTAAAGTAAATTTAAAAAGGAAGCAAAATGCAATAGTCTTAAAAAAAAGATATATGTAATTGGACAGTATTGGCATCATTACACTTGCCTTTCGCATTATTGGTCCCCTTCTGTTCATTATCAGTCACTGGGAAACCTTATTGCTATTGGCAGTGCTTCCTACACTTGCAGGAAATTGGCAGATTGTGACCATGTCTGAATGTCTGAAATTCTATAAAGTTTTATCGTGTAAGACTATTTGAGCTTAAAATATAACATGCAGAATTGTGGAAAATTCTTAAATTCAGGTTCAATCTGAAAGTGAATTTCCAGCAGAAGTTAATTTAACTGCCTTGCAAATTAAGACTGAATTTAGGATTTTTCCACAATTCTGCATGATTTTATATTGTATTTTAAGACAAATTGTTTCTACAAGTTAAGACTCTGTGTATTTGTTTTAAGACTCCGATAATCATTGTCATTTGTTTGTCAAGGAAATTGATTAGATATAAGTGCTCTGAGGCTCTACACTGGGTGAAGGATGCTATATAAATGCAAGTTGTTGTTATTGTGGATAATGTATTGTGGATGGAGAAACACTGATACCAATGTAATGGTAAAACTTCGTGGAAATCCATAACAGGAATTAATCAGTATTTAAAAGGCAAAAATAAGTTAAGGTTTTGGTTATGATCCTTTCACAGAACTCCAGTTTCAATAAATTGTTATTCTTTTTCAGGTGCAGATCGATGGGCTATGGATTTCCAGCATTTGCAAACTTTTTATTTCTACTCGACCCCAAGAATGTTAAAGTGACTCTGGTTAAGAGGGCACTTTATTTGGGGGGTATGAGGTATATAAAATTATTATTTGATATAGATAGGGCAAACCTGTAATTATTTCAGATTAAAGTAAGCAAATAAACAAGGACATATGAATGTAACACAATAAAGAACAGTTTTGAAATAGATATTAGGAAAATAAGTTGTCCAGATAATGAAAATCGTTTGGAACAGTGTACCCTCTAAAAAATGCATTAGGATCATTCAAAACGAAACCAATTGCTGTATGTATAATATAGGGATGAGCTTTGGTGAGGCAAATGTCCTTCTCTCCTTGACTTTTCTTATGTACTTAAGTTCTTAAACTTGGGTAAAGTGGAAGCAGGTAGCGATGAGAAATCAAATAAGTTTAAAATCAGCACGACAAAGGTTAAAACTGACGTCAAGAAACATTTCTTCACATAGAGGGTTCTGAAGATGTGGAATGCTCTACCCAAAAATGCCATTGAGGTGGAAGGAATAGGGATGTTTAAGACAGATAGATAAATACTCGAATAGTACAGCAGTAATTATACTACCTGGCGAAAAGGCGGGTCATTCAGATTAAAAGATCTGACAAGATCGAAAAACTGTTAGAACTGGTCAGATGGCCTGAACGGCCTGTTCCTGTTTTCCTATGTTTCTAACCTGCAGTGTGTTTATTCGTTGTTTATGAGGAGGATAAAGGACCAGAAGACAGAATTGCTTTTGAGAAAATGACGCAGAAATGATACTATTGATATCCAGCGAAAATTATCCCCTTTAATTGGCAGCTATTCTCCATTTACAAGGTCACAAGGAACAACAGAAACTATTGGCTAAAATGTAGCAGAATTGAAATAAAATATAGGCATTGTAGAAACAGGTCATTTAGCTTGGAGCGTGAGTACAGAACAAGGAACAAGAGCATAAAATTACCAAGCCTTGAACAACATCTTCAATCAGAAGCAATGTTTCTTTCCGCAGACTAGTAAACGTGTCATGCACAGCACTTGGTGTGTTGATTAACTTTCCTATTTACCTTCCTTTCCTTGCACTGGGATATGATTCTAAGGATGCTATCAGCTCTTTTGTACCTCACGTATGTTTTTTGATCAGCTGCGTGTCTGACACATGTGGGAATCCATCACCATGAGTATCCAAACCAAACTGAGAATTCAATACATCCCACTCAGACATGGAAATTCCAGAGATTTTATTGGAACGGAATGCATAATCTCTCCTTGGAGTGACGCATCCAGCTTACCTAATTCTGGAAAGTATTAGGTGCGGTTTGGCAAGAGCCAAGACTTGGGGTCCCCGAGTGTGCGTTGAGATACTGCTGGAGTCTAACCAGCTAAACCTGCACAGCTTGTCATTGAGAGTACTATCTGGCAAGTTTCCCACTACTTGAACAGTTAAACCACCTACACACACATATTTTCCATAGAGTGCCGCTGGACACAAATCATTTATTTACAGGTTCAGGAGCACAAAAGCAAAATGTAGCACCTCCAGTGAGTTAAATCAGTTCACGCCACAGAGTTTGAATCTGTGACTCTCCTGGCTTTTAGAGTCAGTACCACAGCTATTAATATAAAAGTGAAAAATATGCACATGTGATATAATTATAATATATAATTATGATATCACCTACGGCATTTATCACTCCCAAATTGTCCTGTATGTGTAAGTGAAAAATGGGGGAGCTTATTGCAAAGTCTCATAAAGCTATTTTATGAAACAATGTATTCACTACTTTGCAAAGGTTGTAGCATTATTTCTGTATCCTGTCAACAATTAAACAATCATATGAGGATAAACACTCATATAAGAACATGAGGAAGACAACGTCAGAAATGTCAAATGATACAATTCAAGAAAGTGTTCAAGCAGACAAGAGAATTGTAATATATCAAAGCAAATTCAGATTGTTTAAGAAACAGACCAGAAGAAAGTTTATCAATACCATTTTTGAAATGAAATTGTGTGAATATCCCACTGTTATTTTCTTACAATGGACAGTAAAATGAAATAGATCAGTTACAAATGGGATTTGAATGAATAATTATGAAATTAATCATCTGCAAAGATAGATGTGCAACAAAGCACCAATCTAGAAAGAGGATCCTGTGAGCGATTGACTGTACAGTTTTTAATCATAGTCCTGCAGAAATTATAACTGTGAAATCTCCCACTGTGTAGGAAGATATGGAACAGCATTGTTGTTAGGAGATGGCCATTGGATATTGATTAAATTAAGTGGATTACACCTTCCAAAACATACATAATAATTCTAAGGATTAAGTCCTTTCTGGCAAACGTTTAATATACAAGTCAAGGCTGATTTAGAAGTTTACTAGTCTAGAAGAATCTAGCACTGCTGATTTTGACACCTACCCACATGTACATGTGCACAATGCACATGAGATATATATATATAAATAATTGATTATTCTGATAATGCTGAATCTTTAAGCTCATTTTGTGCTGCAGTAGGAGGAAGAGCAGATTAAAGCATGAAATGCAGAAGAGGGTTTAAAAAATGTTTTCTATTCCAGCGTGGAATGTACCAGAGGGCTTGTTATAATTATTAGTGTAAATTATGAGATGGGGATATTTCACTCACTAATATTTTGATACTTTGTCAAGAAGAAATCTTAAAGTAAATAGAGTTGGTTAACTAAAGTGTATTTTAAGAAACTTATAGAAACAATGTTTCATATCCTGGAGATGATGCTATTAGAAGACACCGAAAATGTAATGAGATTCACCAGTTAAGATACCAATCAGAAAGTCCCAGTTTTCATCATATCAGCCTGGGTTGTATTGAAACTCAGGTCTACAAAATAAAGGATAACCCTTTCCCTTAAATCAGCAATTTGTGATTCTCTGGGGGAAATTATATGTATTATGGGACTGAATGGTTGTTTAGTGGGAAAATCTGATAAAGAATTAATTCTATATCATCTGACAGATTAGACAATATTAACATATGCATGTAAAGAAGACAGGAAAGCCTATTGTAAAATGAAACATTGTCCCTTCCTAAATAGCCTATGAAGAACAATTTCTTCTGTGCCACACTACTAAATTATAACTTGAAACTACGCTTCCTACAGAGGCAATTGCTGAATAAAAGATAGCCTTTATTTGTCGAACCATTTATCACAGACTTGGTTGAGAATGGTAATGTAACCACCTTTACTATGCAACTTGTGTTACCTTTGACAGAGATAAATGAAAATAATGACAGTGATGGAATGACATCTTAATTATGCGACAAAAATGTATTTTATAGTGTATTTTTGCATGAATAGTAAATGCATTACAATATATACAGTATGTGAGTTTAATTTTAATGTTAAAAGAAGCCCAAATCCAAATTTTAAAATTATATTAGAGATTGTTTTCTTATGTCTTATTTTGTTTTTATACATGGAAACACAGTCCATAAGCAACATTCTACATTCGCTGAATTCAGTTTCAGGGAATATTATTCGCCATATATTATGGTTAAAATATGTTCTTATTTTAAAATCAAGAGTATTTTTGAAAAAAATAATTGTGTAATAGAGAGATGTAAAAAAATGCTTATTTATAGATGAATCATGTTTTAGCAGTATATGAATTGAATTTTCAGCATTAGTGTAGATATGTTGATTTTTACAATGTTCATAATGGATGAATACTTTTTTCCAAACAGTCTTTGTGAATTGTATGTGCTGGTGAAAGCAGAGTGACCAATATTACAGAGTACATTGTTAAATGGAATAAATGTTATTTTACTACTTCTGATCAGTTGACATAAATGCTCTGCTATCTTTGCTGCACTGCACAGATTCTGAACACGGGGCTCTCTCCGTTAACTCCAGTTTCAGATCTGGGACTTTCCTGTCAGCAGTCTGAGTATATTGTGATGCTGGCGAAATTGTGACATATTTGCGTATGAATGCTTCTCCCACTTCTGTGTATTTTCTGTCAGGAGCGTTTGAAGATTTGTTGTCGCTCTGTTCAGAAGCTGAAAGAGATTTCTCTTGCAATGGCTGTTCATACACACATTCTTGTGCCAATAGTTCTCGTTCCTTAGTGTTTCGCCATTTCATTCTTCGGTTCTGGAACCAAATTTTCACCTTTGAATTGAAAAAAATGAGTAATAGTATTATTGATGTTAATACTGATACTGATTAATGATACTGATATTTAGTATTAATGATACTAAGACTAGCATACATTATCTCATTACTTGCCAAATATACATTTACAGGAATCAAAACAACATTATAACTATATTGTGATCTGAAACACAGCAATTTCAAACAGGATTGCTTAATTAAAGAATTGAAAAGGGAATTCCTTATGTAAACGACAAGTACGTGTACATTGCACTTCAAATTTAAATAATTTTGAGGATGTTGTCCTTCTATATTTCTTGATGGAGGAATCTCATTTGAAATGGTATGGGTTAGACTTCATTGTTTAGCTCCTTCCCTCGAATTGGTTTGATTGGTAATACTACTGCTTGGCATCAAACTGAACCGAAAGTATACAGGTTCCGTCATTGGTTGTGCTAAATTAGCTAATGTTAGCCAGATAGCAGTTAAGGGATTATAATTAGCTTCAATGCTCTGGATTGGGAAATAGAAGAAAAAAAACAAGCATTTGCAATCCTGAAAGTTATCCAGTATTACAATAAATAAATTTATACGATAATATATTTCTGTGATCATTAAGCAGTTTCTGTAAACCTTGTGAATACAGCACAATAACCAATTTAGAGCAGAGCAATAATAGAGTGCAACNTTTTTTTATTAACCTGCAACATTGATTTGTGAAGATCTTAAATCATATTGCTCTCACATGTGGGGTTCCTACTCATGATAGTTGCTGATCGGAGATTTGTAAAATTCTTTTGATATTCTGAAAATTAAAATCTTAACAAGTAGCAAACTAGCTCATTACAGGAATATTAATATACATTAAATTATTGCAAAATAACAGAGAGCCCAGTGTTCAGAATCTGCGCAGTGCAGCAAAGACAGCAGAGCATTTATGTCAATTGATCAGAAGTAGTAATATTAATTTACATTAAATTATTATTGTAAAAGTTTAAATGAATTATTTAACTGATAACAAATGCCAAAACAATCAAATACAGTTCAGTATATTGATAATTTAAAATGGAAATTGGTCATTTTGAAAGTGGTAAGTGAGGCACACGTGGGATGATATTTTCAGTTTCTAAGTGAAAATCATACAATCTTCGAAGGGCGCTCTATAGATACAGACTGTTGTTGTTTAATACATTATTCAACATATTCACTGCTTTAGAAAGTAAATAATACCATATCTTATTTTAAAAAATCTATTAAGAAATATCATAATTCACCTTCAATGTAAAATATGAACACAAACAAATGTGTTTGTTGTTTCCTAATCAGTAATCTGGAAGTGGTAAGAATTTTAAGATCTTGTCATATTACCTGTGAGTCTTTAAGCCCAAGATTTGTAGCTAGCTTTTTCCTGTCTGTTTTGCTGATATATTTCTGTTTCTGGAACGTTTTCTCCAGTGCTTTCCTCTGCTCTTCAGAAAAGACCACTCTGCGCAGAATTCCTTTTCGCGCTTTGCTGTGACTCACCTGAGGCCAAAGTGGCAGATCACAGCACCTGAAAGAACTGTTAACTATGGGTGCAAAGTAAATATTGTTAGGAACACAGGAAAGTTTAAGAATAGAAAAAGATAATTTGACTCAACAAACACATCCCTACTAGAATGATTTTGGGCCATGGCAACAGCTCTCCTTTGGGTGAGGTGATATTTTTCTGCTAATAGAGTTTTTGTTTCCAGACTCAGATTCCTTATTGAGGAATCCTGTTAAGAAATACTGCACATTAAACCCAAATAATTCATCAATTAATCAGTTCCCATCTTTATATATAACAGGATTTTTAAAAATAAATCTTCATAGGAAATAAACTCATAGTTATGTTTCAATCAAAAGCATTCAATATATTTCTGGTCTGGTGGGGTTGCTACGTTTGAAGAATATGCACTTAGAAATATACTTAGAATTCTCATTATCTCAAATGGTATCTGCAATATTGTTGTTGGATGAAAGTTCTGAAAGTTCCTGCACATATATCAAGTTCATTATTGTATTTAAATATTTCTCCAAAACACAATATGCAAGTCTTGGACTTCAGCACTAAATAAATAAAAGTATAATTATTTTATTTTTAAAAATATAAATGTTCATAGATTAATACTCACAGAAGCAGTTTGCATTTGAATGACTCGATTTCTTATACTCACAGAAGCAGTTTGCATTTGAATGACTCAAATTCCTTATAAAATAATTCTATATGATATACTCATTTTGTGTGTGTGTGTGTGTGTCTTTTTTAAAAGGCAAAAGTCCATATAAATACATGCCCACATCATAGGTGTACAACAAACTGGTATTATATTTTGCAGACCACCTTGGAGTTGAGTCCAGAATGGTTGGTCACGATTTTGTTTAGGTGATTAATTTCAATATGAGATCAATGAAGTCAAGGGCAATTGATAATTAATGGAGGCACAGCCAAAACCATTAATCAAAAGAGAACCATGGCACAATTTTGTTTTTAGTAAACTGGCCTCAACAGTTTTCAATGTGATCTGGACTAGACTGAAAGACCAAACACAAACAAATAGCAATGCAAATGCCCTCTCCTGTTGGAGCTGTATATTCAAGTACCAATCAATCATAGTGTATTTCATACAATCGAATAAAAGACAACCCTTCCACATTAATGATATGACTGCTTGCATGCTTATAGATTTAAAAAAAATAAACAATATAACTATTAACTACTAGGCATTGGCTTTCAGAAAGTAATATGGTGAGATACAACAGCAAAAAGCTTTGGCTCTACAGCTGACTGGGATTTGATAGTCATTTGATAATCAAAAACGCAGTAACGTCTTTGCTTATAAGCTCTGTTCATCCTCTGAATGCTATTGAGAAAACAGGAGGGTCTGCCCGGATCAGCGAAAGAAAGTCTATAAAAGTCGATTTCATTTATGTTTCAATGAACTGATCTCAATGATGGTTCGCAGGATTCCCCCCAATGGAATGTGAGAGACAGGAGTTAAGACTTTGCAAACAGAGCTTTATTTTATGGCACTACGAAAGGGCGCCTGACCCCTGTCCAGTGCTTTCTTAGTGGAGGCTGATTTGGAAAGTTCATCTGCACTGTGAAAAATAGTGGCGAGGTCGCGTGTGGATGAAGAAAGTGAAAGTGCCGATTGGTCATGGTCCTGTTGGCCATTGTGCATTAGCCATCGCCATGTAAAACGCTCTGTGGGAAAGGGGCTGCCCTGAAAACATCCCTGAGAGAGAGTCTCAGCTCATTAAACAGCCAGAATTTGCTGCCTCACTTGTCAAGAATCATTCAAGTTGGCAACTCTCCTTTCGGGGTTAAAAAAAAAAGAGAGCTATTTAGTCAGTTTGCTAAACCTGAATTCACTTTATACTCGGCTTGATTTAAAGAGGCAGTGTCTTTTGCTCCAGAAAAAGGTTTGGTGCTCTTACAAATAAGTGCCATCGGTTCTTTTAACATACCTCCCATCATCAGGACCCTATTTTTCTTCCCTGCTGTTTTGGATCTCTAAAAGCAATTTGTCTGTGGTGTTTATATTGTCTGACAGATAGAAGACAATTTAGCCAAATAAATTATTTTCCTTTAAAAGAAAGGGGATCGAAGCCTCAATTAACTTTACCTAAACACTGGAATATATTTTTTGAAAGAGCTAACTGTACTTTTTTCTATTAAAAAAATAAAGCAAACGTATCTATTTTGAATAGAGTGAATGATGTGTTGCTGTTACAGCTTCCTTTCATCAACTCAGGCTATCAGATCCAGTGCAAAGCTTACAAACCTGACAGGGGTAATGGGAGCCAAGCTGGTTTTAATGCATTTTAAATGCTGAGATATCAAGTGTGAAGCTGTAATTTGGCGTTTCACTTGTAACCATTTTTCAGGCCACATGGAAATCGTACCGCTACGGTTTACAAAGCACATCAAGCATTCAACTGATGAAGCACAAAAACTTACTCGGAAAAGCAGTGGGGGAGACCGGCTGCTGACAGGACCCACCGCAGCAAGACAAGAAGAACTGGGGGAATCTGGGCTGGAAGCATTTGGATAAAGCTGCACACAACGAAAATAACACAGATCTTAATAACTTCATTCGAGAAAATAATTGCTGCAGTGCAGGATTCCAAAGCTATCGAAGCGCTCTGTAAAATAATTAAAACAGATTTAACACTCAAATGTGGTTTTGCGTTATGATGAACCACTACTTTGGGTTTCTAATTTTAAAATGTACGCACATCTGATAAAAGCACCAAATTCTCCATTTACCTCGGAGTATAAACCAGTGTTGGTGCAAGTAGTCTATTGTCTTATGGATAGAAATTCCACCTGGTTCTAGATTTACTCCAGTAACATTTCAGGGCGTACAGGATTTATTGAGTTTTTAAATACAGTCTTTAAAATAGAAGCTGTTTTTCTGTCAGCTCGTTTTAAGACCTACAGAACTACTAATATGTTCAAAAATATATTACCCGACTGGTTGACTTAAATGTATGGACGTGATATACGGAATTAAGGTGAGCTACACATTTTCAGTCCACAGCCTGTGTCCCCACCTTCATTCCACAATGCGTCAAACCTTTTATATAAGAAATTAAATAGTATCTCCACATGAAATTGGATTGTTTTATATATGACTTGACTCCTAATTTTACAGGTTCGGGACGTACTAACCACATCCTTTCCATTATTCCTTGCGATGAAGTTCTACATATTTATTCACTTCATTCCAACAACTTCAGAGTATTGGTTGGGTTTCAGTTCTTACTTAGTAGGAATGTTATGGGAAAGCTGGTGTGAACTCAACTGCTTTACTTTTCAAAGTGTACATGATCAAAGCCAGGTCGAACACATGTAACCTTGTAAATAAGGGAATTAAGGTTTACGTTTTGTGAAATGGCCTTTTGCAATTTTTTGTCCCACAAAAACAACATTGGAATAGCCAGTTACAGTCGGAATATGATGCCCGGGGAAGTTGGGGAGGGGGAGAAATTACACATCTAAGTGTATGGTCGGACCACATATTTATATTGTATGTAGCAGTAGTCTCAATACATCATCTCATGTGTTTCCCAGAAGTTAATGTTACCTAACAAACATGGTGTGACTAAAACAGAAGGTTTTTACAATGCAGGTATGGAAATTGTGGAATGGCAAATAGAAACATCCTGATGTGCAATGTGTATAAGGTTTATTTATTGTTTCAAAAGTTAACACTGTTAAACTTGCAGCTGCGTTTCTTGAAAGATTTCTAAAGCAGCCCCTTTTTACTGTGAACATTCAATTCAACTCCCGACCAAGTGCTGCTATTTAGGTCATCCAGATTCAGAGAAAAACATCGATTCACTGTACAATAAATGTTACGTTGTTGGGTTAATCTGAAGATTTCCACCTGAATTCCACCGAAACTTGCCAATTCGGAAAGTTTGGGTGCAGTTGCTTTCACTCGGGGCTGTAAACTCTTGGGAGGTAAGAGTGCAAAATCAAAGTTTATTTAAGAAGCAGATTCAAGTCAAGTGCAAAGGGAAAACATGCAGTTCAGGAAGGACACTGACAAAACATAAGATAATATAACAGATGAGATTAGTGTGAGCGGCCTGAAGCAGGTGAAACTGGGTTGCCTTACCTATTTCAGGATAGGGGACTATTTGGCTGGTAGAGGTGACTGGAGCAGACTGGCTGTCGGAGGGGTTAACGAGCTGAAAGGAGGGTCTTGTAGGATGTGGACCTCCTGATGGGCTGATTTGTTCCGCAGTTTGGGGCACTTTCACTGGCACAAGGGTTGCCGGAATCGGTCGAAGCGGAGGACTCGAGGGACCATTGATCCGCAGCAAATTATCAATCAGGAAACTTTTGCCCAAGTTGTGGAATGCAGGGAACTGAGGTGAGTTCTGCAAAGGGGATGAGATCGGACTGGGGATCATGGTGAGAACGCAACACAAGGCGATGTTTGCTCCACACCAAGGAGTCACAGGCAAGTCTTTATCAGAGGTTTCGTTGCTTTACGAAAAGTGTCTCTTCCCAAAGGTCTGTCTTGTAACTTCTGGGAAAGTCTTGGGTCTTGCTTTCCCAATGCACGATGTGCTGCGATTGGCTCGAAGGTTTACATGTGATTCTGTCCTGAGATCCTTCAGTAATTTCATTCTGGTGGGACAGAAGGTGTGTCCATGTCACTCATTTAAAAAAGGCAGATCGTGGACTGTGGGAGTGGGCAGGGGGTTACACTTCAACAGTAACCTATAACATATTATAACTGGTCAGTCATTTCATTGCTGGCTGTTTGTGGGACGTTGCTGTGTGCAAATTGACTGCCAGGTTTGCCTGCAAATATACAGTTACTACACTCTGCAACAAATGCTGTCAAGTACTTTGAGATATTTCTGATTATCATGAGGCACATTACATCAAAGGCAAAGTATTATTATAATTCTGTACATCAAGTAGAATATTAGATTTTGTGCTTATTTACAGATGTTTCAAGAAATCAATCAATCTAATAATTAATCCTCTACTCAATATATTATAGAATAAAAGTAAAACTAAAAGGGCAATATTATGCCTGATTCAAAATCATTTCAGAGTTGAAAAGTGAAGCATCTGAAATCATGTTGGGTAACAATGTACTATTTAATAAATCTAAGAAAGAAATCAAGGAAATAATCACAATTACTTAAAATATATTGGATTAATTGCATATTAATAAAAAGTATCAGTGGGCTCTTAAAAAAAATCCAGGGTATAGTTGTAACATCAATAGTACCAGATGTATAATGCTAAAACCACATTTAAATCATAAATTGTTTGAAGGGCAATAGTACAACAGCAACAACTACTTGCATTTATATAGCACCCTTTACTCTGGGAAGCATCCCACAGCACTCGACAAGAGTACAAAACACAGTGCTAAATTTGAAACAAAATGCATTGACACATACAAATTAAATCTCTTATTTTATTGTGTAGAGCGTTATTGTTTAAATGTATCAGAGGATAATTATATCTCTGGAATTTCCACGTGTAGGTGGGATGCATGGAATTCTCAGTTTGGTCTGGATACTCTTAAGGGTAAGAGTTTCTTTAGATGGGTTTCTGCATGTGTCAGATACCCAGCTGACCCCCCAAATCTGACTAATTATAATTGCATTTGGTGGTTTGTTTTAAATGGGGCATGTGTAATCCTTTACTTCAACAAATTGGATTAACAACAGCTGTGACTGCTTATCTTGCAACACATTTTATCAGAATGATTTCGTAAACAACAACTTGCATTTATATAGCACCACTCACGGAGGGTAGGGTCCCAGAGCTCTTGACCAACTGCTAGAGGAAATTTTGTGAGGAAAAGTAAACGACTATTTTTCCAAACCTGGTAACTTAGTTTGTGTTTTTATTTATGCTTTTTTTTATGATTCTATGATCAATATAAGAAGGGAGGAGGTTTGTATTTAGGACAATGGAGTAATCCTCTCAGTCAACAGATACTGGTGTTGCTGTTGTGACTACAAACCAAAGTAATAATTTGACTATTTTTATTCGCTGTATTTTGTTCAGCAATTGCAAATTATTACCACCTAAAATTTTTTTTAGGTTGGACAAATTTCTTAAAGAAAGGATATTAGTTCTATACACTATTTGCCTAGAATCATTTGGACCTGTACACACTAGACTTAATTCTAATTAAATTTGCAGGAGTAAGGCTGAAACCAAGGTGGATATCTGGACATGATTACAAATCATTATTCCAAACTAAAGAGTGCAGATTACATTTTAACCTGCAAGAGTGAAGCTCCAGTGGCTCCTGAGATTAGATTACAAGGCTTGAAATCACACCGAAACATCCTTTACTGTGCAATAATTCTCACAACAGAGGATTAACAAGCACCTGACCTCAAGGTAGATTTATTGAGAAAATCCTCAGCGGTTGATCACTGAGAACATTTCTGTCCAATGTTTTAGTTTTCAGTTTGTTTTTGTTCTCACACAAAAGTGGAGTGGAATAATTAACCAGTTATGAGGTGCCACATGTTCTCTCACTTCATCAGAGCAGTGAACGAAAGCAGCTGTCCAATATTGCTATGGATACACTCATCCTGCTCTCCCCACCTCATTGCCCTAATTGGTGACTTTTGAATCAGACGAGTTTGTCTTTAATTTGTGCTCCCCGTGTCATTTACTTATTAATGACCCCATGAATGACACTAAAATTAATTTAAAATAACACCGCAGGAATCCACAGAGTTGTGGATTGCATATCCAAATGCATATGAAATGCATATCCAGGGAATCGTGTTGTGAATTTAATCTGAGTAGCATTTAACAACTGCTGGATTTCTGAAATTAATCCCAGATTCATATTAATTATCATCATATAATTTAATGTATTTGTCCTGGGCAACAATCCCTAAAATAAAATTGGTAATTTACTTCACAGCTGTTTGTGGGTCTTTCCTGTGTGCAAGTTGACTGCCACACTTGCCTACAAATTCTACAATTCACTACAAGTGGAATCCAGTAAAGTGCTTTGAGACGTCTTGATGATATGATAATGTGTCATATCAAATGCAAGGATTATTATTATTAATTTAGAGACAAACTTAAAAAACACACAGAAAAAAACAAAACGATAACTCAGTCAGGACAGCAGCTGGGCCATGACCATTGGCTTCTGCATCCAGGGAAGCAAAAAATAAACAGTGTTCCTACTCCTGGTGACTAGTGATCCCTGCTGAAACATAGGGATGTGGAGGAGATTTCTGGTGAGAACAGGATTGGGTTCGGTACTAATACCCCTCCAATCAACTAGCCTGCAAACACTTGTTATCTCACAAGTTATATAAAGTTATCTCGTCTCACCTGTACAGAATGGTGACTATCCTTCTGGGGGGAGGTAAGCGGATGAACTGGCTCCAAGGGGAATGTTTGGCAACATAATACCAGAATCGAACAAACCCTCTGTGGTGGACTCAGCCAGGCAGATCTGCACAGCCAGCTAAGCTCATCAGCAAGAGTTGGACAGCCAGACTGGAGGTAGGGAATCATCCCACTCAGCTCCTGTTAACCCTGCAAACCAAAGTGCTAACGGGTAAGGTGATCCAAGCTGGATTCGCAGTTACTACATCAATGGTACCAGAAGCTTGCCAAACAGAGATATCAATGGCAAGCTATGCAGTTCTAGCTGGTTGGACATCAGTAGTACCCCCAACACAGACTCTGGGGTCCCCCCAAGTCTTGGTTTTTGCCAACCTGTGTCTAATATCCTCAGGAATTAGATAAGCAAGATGCGTCCCTCCAGGGAGAGAGTGTTTTATTCCAATAAAATCTCTGGAATTTACATGTATAGGTGGGATGCTTGGAACTCTCAGTTTGGTTTGGATATTCTTAAGCATGGTGATGGGTTTCTGCATGTGTCAGACACCCAGCTGACCAAAAAAACAGACATGGATTGTCAGCTGATAATCATAACAATAAACAGTTCTGGAAAACCTTCAGATCTTACCAAGCCACCCTTCCACAGCAAACGTCCACAGTGGTTGTACCAGTAGGAGGCAATATGATCATTTATTGGCCACAGTTCAAAGTATAAATAGCTATCTCAACTTTATCAGTTACTGAATCTGTTGACAAATGGTCTCCTCTTGTTTGGGTTTCTTAACCGTAGATGTGTGTGAATTTGTTTCCTCTGTTTGATTTTCACATTGCTGTGTTTCATCTACAAACAGCAAGGTCCTTTACATTTCTCCATTTCTGATAATCTCCTCCCCACCACCCCCATTAAACAGTCTAGCAGATAACCAAGCCAAAATTTAGTAAAAATTAGTAAATTTATTTTAGGGTATTGTAACTCATCTTCTTTTGAAGACCAACAGTCCAAAAGAGAAAATTGCATTTAGCTTGACCGTCTTCCTAAAGCAGTGAGTAATTTATAATGAATTCTCATGTTATTCAATGTAGAATAATAAAACCTATATTTTGCGCCATGTGAAATATGCATGCTGCACATTCTTTGATTCACTCCTTCAACAACAAAGTCTGCTCCATAGGTTTGTCCTGAACAGCAAGTGACCACATTGTAACTGGGAAAAAATTGGAAACCACATGCTGTGTAGTAAAATTGTCCTTAACAAATTGCTCTATTGTTAAAGTGATAGGAAGCCAAAGGTTGCATGTAGGCTCATTTAAAAGTTGCCCACAGCGAAAGATACTGAAAAAAATAAAGTGACACTGCCCTGTCTAAATTTTTCAACAGGCTTCTGCTAATGTGAAAAATCACTTTCCATGCCTATTGCCTGTGGCAGTGCAGAGAGATTTTCTATGGTGCTTTGTTTAGGAGGATCTGTCGGAGGGGCTTTTTGTAATGAATGGCTATATAACTGGGCTCATTGGGAGTTTACACTTATAGAGAGTCTGTGATCATTCTTATTTTTAAACCAGAGAGTGAAAATGTAGATCAGAGTCATTATTTCAAGCCGAGAGGTAAATGATAATGTGTGTTCATAATCCCAAAATAACTAAAAACCAGAAGTTCAGATTAAATAAATGCAGCTACGCTCTTATTGTGTTACAATGAAGGCAAATGCTGTCTGAAGCTGGCGATGCAAATCATATACTCAGACTTGAAGAATAAAAGAAACTGGACTGAATCGACTGTACAAGACTATAACCTCTCACCACTTACACAAGACCACAGGCCACATTTTTAAAACAGCAACCCTTATACACAATTTAAAATTAATTCACTTCAAATTAATCATTTAAAAATGGTTATCTAAATGTTGAAAAGAATATAATACAAATGTTACTGAATTAATTAGGCTTTGGATATTGTTACAAATATTTGTAATTAATTATAAATAAATATACATCTATACCAAAATATATTGGTTATAATTATTGCTATCATCTTCTCATATTTAATACATTTCAA